TTTGTTAATGCGGCTCCCCACTAATACTATAAAAAATCATTTAATCCGGACTTCTAATTCAAACATCTAATTCAAACTTTCTAATTCAAAGCCAAATTCAACGCTCTACAGACCTCATTCTGGCATTCACCTGCTTCAATTTACTTCAAGACATCCAATTTTAAGCTCCAGCGTTAAGCTTTTGTGCTGTTTTTTCTCAGCGCTTGCAGTTACAGAGTTGGTTGCATGTTTCTGACTCATGATGATTGATTTCAAGGGTCAAAATTAATTGCTAAACAAAGAGCACAAAAGTTTTTGACGAACCAAGATGGTGAGACAAACAAACTGGCACTAAACTGCACAACGAGGCTATGCACCACCGATGTGCTGTGGCACTAGTGTACACGCCCTGATGCCAGCTGTACGATGCCCGTGAGCGTTATAACAAAACTCATTGAGTGCTAAGTGGAATCGGGTATCAATGCAAAACAAGCATTATAGTGAAACAGCGCTAAACAAGGGTTGCCTATACTTTATTCTTAGAAAATAAATTGTTACAACCTTATCTGTGTCTTGCCTGAAGGTTAAGAAGCATCTACAATTTTATATTGGATGCCTGGAGAACACTTTTTTTGGTTTTTTAAATGAGCTGTTCAAAGCTGATTAAAGTAATTCTAAGAAGTTTCTGCCTTCCGTCATTCCAACAGAAGACTTAAAAAAAATTAAAAAATAAAAAAGCCTGTTCCAAACACTATTTTATATGTTGCCATTAGGTGCTGAGGGAAACAGCTAACATCTTATTTATCTCAAGGAAAAAGCTACTCTAAGATAAGCTGCAAGCAGACAATCCGTATGTCAGTGTAAATTACACTAGTTTATCCTTCTCCCCATTCCTTCAGAGGTACTACACTTGACTTGGTGAAGTTAACCTCGCGGTGCAGGTATTTTATTTGACCAGGTCCTTCCTTACCAAACTGAAAGACAAAAGCCAATTCTCTCCAATGGTTGTTAAGAAAAGGCAACAAAGCTTACTGTTAAGAATTAACAAAATTTCAAGACTATTTTGAAAGACATTTTCATAAAAATGGTAAGTGTTAGAAGGATGTTGTAACCATGATGGTCCAGAAATTATGAGACACAAGAATGCACTACATTCAAAAGCCTGTCTAACTTTATTCCAACCATATAGTTGGTCCAAATAAAAGATATCACCACAAAAATTGCTTGCATCTCACATTTTAATAAAAAGAGATTTATATAAAATGTAAGATTGTTTTGATTTATAGGAACAACAATGAACTCCTATTAAACCCTGGTAAACCTAAATGGCTCTATAAGGAAACTGGCTGACTAGAGGTTAAGATTCTAAGATTTTTTTTCTATAATTTCTTGTCACAACAAAGGCAATTATAATTATGCTGCATACTATCCCAGGGAGATACAAGCGGAGGCCCTGGAGCACCCTCCTGCGGTGGTACCTGAGGCAGGGCTGACCCTCCTGAAGAAGAAAGAGAAAAGCCCTGGAGGTAGGGCATGCTTACCATTTTCAGGAAAAGCGGAGCCAGGCGAGTCACGCCGTGACAAATCACCTGCGCAGTTTGTCAGCCACTTTTATTGTTGGCTGGAAGTGACATCGGCAGATTACATCATCAAAAACCACCGCCTGGCTGACTTAAAAGCCGGCAACGAGGAAATGGAGGGGAGAGCAGCAACACCAGAAGACAGCAAAGCTGCTCCTCGGGCTGCACACAGCCTGTGTCAGCAGCTCGGCAGGGATCTGGACAGAGACCCAGCAGAAGGGTCCAGGATCCATTAAAAGAAGCATCATCCTGGATTCGCAGGGCAGCCGGGCCAAGGATGATGGCGTCAAGGGACCCTGGAGCCGCAGACGCCAGACCTGTGAGTGGGGTGGGCTGAGGCCCCATGCCCCACCTATTCCTTTTCTCTTTCTTAATTTGTTTTGAGTTTCACAGAGCCCCAAACCAGGGAGAGGGGCCACGAGCAACCTTTCAGGTCAAGGGGAGCCGAGGCAGCGCAGCAGACTGCTATGCTTCAAAAAAAGACCTGACGCGTTGACGAGGATGGTCCCACGTCCTGTGGTTATCCTGTGTGGAGGGACACTGGGAGATGGGCAGGGGAAAAAAAAGGAGGGCAGGTGACGACATCCAAGAGATGGCCGGAGATCCATCATCTGGCTGAGGTCTGGCGCATGGCTGGGGTGTAGGGGAGGTGGAGCCCCAAGAACACCTGCACCCAGTCTGCGAGGAGCCGTGAGAAGGACCCCCACCACTGAAGAGGAAGTTCAAGTCATGGCAGGCGAGTGTTAGGGCCTCCCTTGGGGTGAATACAGCCCAACGCCTAGGCCTCAGGAACACACCCTGTGGCCGCACTGGGTGTGCGCTCCAAGGAGGCTAGAGAGCGCCTACACGAGGCCAGACAGGTGCAATACTTATTAAACAGAATACATATTCCTGAACCAAAAATGCTACTAACACCGACCCACAAGTGCCTGAATTAAATGGAAGGAGGACAACAGCTCATTACAAATCTATTCAAACAGAAAAGAGTCCTATGAAATTATAGAAAGAGGGGTTTAATAAAACAGCATTTTCAAATGAACAAGTGATATTCTCTTTCTGCCACTATCCTCAACTTCCCAACCCAATTTATCTTGTTTTACTCTTTTAAGCAAACAACCATCAGACAGCAAAGAGAAAAGGGAACAAGAAAAAAAACACACTGCACCAAGAAGAAGCAACCTCCCAGTTTAGATAACACCACCAAGGGCTCCTATACATGTGCAGGGAGGCGGTAATTCCAGCGCATTGGAGCAGATTAATCGAGTCTGCTGGTGCGTCGTAATTTGCCATCTATAAAATACTTTAGTTATCTATGCTATGGCAAGACAGGACTTTCTAGTAATGTTAAGTTTTTTGGTCTCCTCCAAGAGCAGAGCTACTTCTAAAGGCATAGCTTTAAAAATCTCCAGAGGCATAAAAAAAGATTATGGATGAAATGCCCACTGATTACTGTTTGTGGTCTTTATTTTGTTTGGTTTAATTTTTAATTCTTCTTTTCTCTTTTTATAATAAAAAAAGGTCACAATTAAAGACTGAGATCATTTTGCTAGCCTTTAAATCAAGATATCCCATAAAGCAAGGGAGAACGATAGTTTGGGCCTGTGGGCCACATGGACAGTTTTGGGGAGCTGCTGGATGCCAGTCAGCACTTCCCTCCCCCTGCCACCACCTGGAGCCCATGTGCCTTAAAATTCACGTTAGAAAAGATGACAGAAACCCATATATATGGTACTTTTGTACCATTCCAATATAAAAGCCTTAGTCTGTCTGTCTCTGTCTGTAACGCTCTGGGCCACCTGTGCATGCGCGGCTGAGAGGGTGCACACTGATTGGCTGCGAGGGCCTGGAGCATTATGGACAGGGGGCGAGGGAGCTGACATGCCACCCCAACAGAATCCAGCTAGATCTAGACAAATTATAGAGATGGGCAGGTGAGAATAGGATGGAATTCAACGCAGACAAGTTCAAGGTACTGCATCTAGGGAGAAGGAACCAGCAACACACCTATAGGCTGTGGAACACCATTCTTGTCAACACGGTGGCAGAAAGGTATCTTGGAGTCATTGTTGACTCCAGGATGAGCATGAGCCACCAATGCGAGGAAGTTGTCAGTAAGGCTAACCGCACCTTGTCGTGCATCTACAGATGCATCACAAGCAGGTCCGGGGAGGTGATCCTTCCCTTCTATGTGGCATTGGTCAAGCCACAGTTGGAGTGCTGCGTCCGGTTCTGGGCGCCGCACTTCAAGAGAGATGTGGCTAGCAATGAGAGGGTCCAGAAGAGGGCCATTCACATGGTCAAGGGACAGCGGGGAAGGCCCTACGAAGAGGGGCTAAAGGTCCTGAACCTATTCAGCCTCCACAAGAGAAGGCTAGGAGGGGATCTGGTGGCTGTTTACAAACTCACCAGGGGGGACCAGTGAGAATTGGGGGAGGCTCTGTTCCCCTGGGCACCACCCAGGGTTACTAGGAATAACGGCCACAAATTGTTAGAGAGAAGGTTCAAGCTGGACACCAGGAGACATTACAGTTAGGGCTGCCAGCCTCTGGAATGAGCTAGCTCCCAAGTGAGTGATGGACTCTCTTACCTTGGGGGTCTTCAAGAGGAGGCTAGACAGATATTTGGCTAGGGTGACAGGACCCTGGCACCCGTTCCTGCCTGGGGCAGGGGGTTGGACCTGATGACCTGTTTAGGTCCTTTTTGACCCCAATCACTATGATACTCTGAAGAACAGCCAGCAAGGAGGGGGAGGTGGTGGGGAGGAAGGGAGGGAAGGAGAGGAGCAGGAAGGTGAAGGGGGGTTTCTGTGGCAGCGCCCCCTGCTGCCACTGCGCTCCCCAGCCCCTCCCCCCAGCCCCAACAACAGCCAGCAGAGGGGGAGGCGATGGGGAGGGAGGAGAGGGGGAGGAGAAGGGGATGTTGCATGCCATTGGGTGTTGGTGGCTGCTGCTACATGCAAGCTGCCCTCCCACCCTGTTCCTGGGAGCTGGCAGCAGCGTGGGGTGGAGCAGCAGGGAGTGGTGGGGAGGCGCGTGGGGCCGCACCGGGAGTGGCAGGGGGAGGAGGGGGGCCCATTATGCTGAATGTGAGGTGTGGGGGGGGCAAATGGGGCTGGAGGCGGTGCGGTAGCACTGCGGGGCATCCCACCTGCCCTGTCATTCATGATGGGCAATTTGCAACTCTCTCTCACATATGAGATGATGAGCTTACTGAAGTCAGTTGTAAACAGGCTACATTATAATAATACTCTTCACTGGGTTCAAATATATCCGATTTGCCCAGTACTCAATCTTATTTTAAAATTAAATAATGGTGTACTGAAAATTAAAGGCACCATGTGAACTTTACAAATTATATAAAACAAATACGTTCATTTCTGGAAGTCAAACTGGTCACAGCAGTACAATTGCATCACTGTGGAAAATTAAAACATTCATTTACCTTGCCACAGTGAAGTTGTCTGGAGGCAAAAACCGAGCCAGCTGAATAAAGATGTGGTTAAGGGAAGCACAGAATCCACACCATTGCGCATAATAGAGTAGCAAGACATCCTGAGAGGTAGAAGGATGAGAAATTCAGTTAGTGACCAGAGTTTACCAGAAAGCAGAAATAGTCACCAGTATGTTAAACAATGTATCTAACCTACAGAGATGGGGGGAGGGGGGGGGAAAATGTACACTTGTTGTGTTTACACTCCTGTCCATGAAGCCATGGGCCCAACTCATGGGATACCCCCATAGCTCCTGAAACAGAAGGGAAACAGCTGTTTTAACAGGCCTCAGGGGACTTTGACATAAAGGAAGCATCCTCACCAAATGTAAATATGGTACAGGTCAGTGCCATCCCCAGTAAAATACTCTGATGCAGGGGACACATTGAGAGTATTTCTAGATAAGACAACATGGCCACTGTCCTGTGTCCTGCTTACTGTCAGAGTGGCTCAGCAGCAACAGCCAGGTACAAGTGAGCCTTTAGGGCGTTCTAACCTCTGGCTGGGAGCTGGGCCGGTCCATGACGGCTTCATTATGAAGGAAGCATAAGGTTAGCATAAAACCATTTTTAAACCTTCAACCATCTCTGCACCAAGATCAGCAAGGAGACGGGATCAGGAAGGAATTTTACCCCATGGTCAGCCTGACATGGACTGTGTGGACTTTTGTGTTCTTCTGCATCAGGAAGTGTGGCCCTCATACTGGGATCTATTTAGCATATTTTAATAACTTTTGCAGCAGCAGGACATTAGCCACCATGGTCCCCCTGCTTTACCTGTGGCAGATGAGGGTATTATATGTCTTGAGTTATGTCAGGGTTGACCCTGTAGTTTTGCTTAGAGGTTAAACAGTGGATTTGTATAGGGTGGTTTGGAAAGGGATGATCCTGCCTCAGGCAGGGGACTGGACTAGATGCCTCTTGAGGTCCCTTTCAGACCTTCTCTGCAATTCTGTGACCTGGGTCTGATGAATAAAACAAGTAATTTGACTTTTGGCTTATAAGACTGCAAAAACACAATGCTGTTACACTAATTTGCCAACAAAACATAAGTGGTCCTGTACTCATTTTCTGTCATCCTCAGCAATGTCCTTATATTAAAAACAGAAAACTAGATCAGACAATCATTTAATTTCCATTAAATAACGATGGAACTTGAACTATATTCTGGTTGTCATGATTGTTCTGCAGCTTTCTATTACTATTTAATGAACTGTGACTATATGCTTTAAATGGGAAATCTACGTTCCAGAAGACAAGCAATTTTCCTAAAGCTAGCCCAGTAGGCACCAGGGTTGCTGGAAGCTGAACGCTGTACATGCATTTATTCTCTATTGTGCCAGTGGCCAAGGATTACATTTAGTCTTTAATTCAATCACTCCTTGAAAAATCAAAGTAATGTGATGCCCTTAAACATGCCACCACACAAATAATTTTACCCTGTGAAATCAAAATATTTTTACCATGGACTTTTTTTGCTATGCACTTTTTAAATACTTCTTTTAGTTTGTTTTACAACCTTCCCTTTATTCTATTACATCTGCTTTCCAGTCACTATTGTTCATCATTTAATTTCTTAATTCCTATAAAAATGCAAATGAATCCCCCTGCAACTAGCGCGCACACTGGTCATATTTGGCCTATAGAAGTGCTATATGTTCATCATCTTTTATCTCCTTGGACCTAACAACCAGAATATGTTCCTGAATATGGCCCTTGAACTCTTAGTTTTTGACAGCTGCCACTGTGAGAACCAAGTCAAATTAAGGCCTCTTCTTCCCCAGAAATATATATGTATATTATTTAAAAAAGAGAAATAAGCCTCTGAAGGACTATATTTGTGAGTTGTGAGAAAGTAGCACTTGGTATAGCTGAACAAGCAGCCTTCCAGGACTCAGTTAAACTGAATTTTTAGCAGCTTTATGCCAAAGTGGGCCCAGGAACTGGGTCTCAATTAAAATAATTTGGAAGTATGAGATCTTCTTGCATGCAACATACCCCCTTTCCCCAAAGACTAGCTGCTGGAAATTAAGGGATGTAAATATTGTTTAAAAATTATCCATTTAACCTCCTCTAGTTACACTGGTTAAATGGTTAACCAATAGCACATACTCAGTCCCAGCTGGGG